AAGACGCAGACATGATATCCTATCTACAAACACTATTACAACAAATCCTTCTACTCATTAAGAGAATGAAACTATATATCTATCCTAATCATTTTGAATACACAGATACAAAATGGACATTCATCTGTATCCCCTTTTCTGTTTAGTTCCGTTATTTGAATATTATAGGTGTGTTAATTCAGCGAAATATTCTAAAAGAGTCCAGTAGCCCATAATAGTATTGGGTCTTCCGTTTAACTGGCAATGTCAGAAACTGTTGACCCGAGTCCCCCACAGCTCAACATAACAGCATGGCTTTACTTCTTACACTTCGTTTTTATACTTTTCTGCTGGATGGTTAAGACCAAGATAAAGCAAGACCTATGTAACAAGAGGTAGCTTTTGTGTCTGATAAGGTCAATCACCCCCCCCCAGGATTTATCCTGAGATCCTGTACCTCAGATTGTAGATCCTTTGTCAGTGTCAGCCATGTGGATGAGTCACTTATTAGAGCTTTACTCTTCCAGTTAGGAGGGTCATCGGTTGAATAAAAAGAGAAACAAAAGAAGCTAAATCTTGGCCTTTGTTCTTCTTGTTCATTTAAGGGATGTTCAGGGATGGGATTGTTTTGGAGTTTGGTTTTGCGCTTTTTTGAGCCTGTGTCTCACCACCCAGCTATTGCGGGCCTGAGAGGTCGTTACTCGCTCTGGCCTACAGAGGGCGCTGCTTCCCTTCAAATAATTGAAAGAAGGGCGGGAACAGTCTGGAACGCGTTTATGAAGCCAGCAGGAACACAGGTTAGGAACAACTAAAGCTACCTTCACATGTCAAATTTTGCTTGAGAAACAAAGTGAAAAGGAAAAAGGCGTGCATGGTGGTGCATACCTGTATGGTGGTGCACACTTGGGAGGCTGAGGCAGGAGGGTCACTGAATTCGAGGTCAGTCTAGGCTACATAGTAAGACTGTCTCAAAAAGTAAAAGAGAGAGAGAGAGAGAGAGAGAGAGAGAGAGAGAGAGAGAGAGAGAGAGAGAGAGAATAAACGGCAATCTGGGAAGAGGCTAGAGACCTTCATAGAGTTCTCCTAAAGAAAGGAAGAGTCAGCATTTTTCAGGGGTGACAAAGCCAGGTTGGCAGGTGCACCCAGATACAGAGCAGACCAGACTGAAGGACGGGCTGGGGCGGCTGCAGGGCTGAGGCCAGAGCTCACAGGCCCGCTTCCTGCAGGCTGGGGGCTCGGAGCGGGGCAGGGCCTGCAAGGTCTGTCCAGGGGCTGAGACTGACAGCCACTTCGGCTCAAGCTTTCTTGCAGAAAGGGACTCTGGTTTGCACAGTCACCGCCCAGAAGAGCTGGTGGAGTCTGAAATAAAAAGGGCTTCGTTGTTGTTTTGAGATAGAGTCTTGCTACGTAATTCGGCCTGGCTTTGCGCTCACTCTCTAGTCCAGACTGACCTTGAACTTGCGGCAATCCTCCTGCCCCAGCCTCCCAAGTGCGGTGTCTGTGTACGGCCCTCGCCCAGCCCTCAGGAGAGTTTTGTATGAGCAGCAGGTGAGCCCTCTGGATAGCCCAGAGCCCAGGACCCAGTCAGCCAGGAGCCAGAGGGATGAGATTCGCATTTCTCCAGAAAAATAGGGCTCAAAACCCTCCCAGAGCTGAGACACATCTCCTTGTAGCATGTGGCGCTTTCTCTCGGTGACTGTCCTTGCCTTTGTCAGCTCAAGGTTGCTTTATCACAAGGCCCAGTGGCTAAAATTTAAACAAAAATCAATAAAGAGCAAGGAATGTATTCACGAAAACAATCAGCCCCCTCCTTCAACTGAACGGTTAAGATCGATGGATCCGTGTGTTGGCAGAGTAGAGAAAAGGCTTGCTTTATCACTGACCTGTCTTAATTAAATGATTCAGTTTGAAGATACAATTACAGTCTAAGATTTGACTTATTTTTAGCAGGGTCTTGCTGTGTAGTCTTGGCTGGCCGTGACCTTGCAGAGATCCTCCTGCCTCAGCCTCCTGCATGCTGTTATTACAGACATGTCCACCAGGCCTGGCTTAGCAACCATCTTGACAGGACTCAGTTCCCCTTGTGGGGAAGTAAACACAAACTTCTGGCCCTTATTTTTTTGAGAGAAGACAGAAAATGTATGGGACATTCCCCAAAGATTTAATGGCGGTAATTAGTTTCAAAACGTATTTTGACACTGTGTAGACTTACCACAGGAAATCAGGGGCTCATCTGGCCCAGGAGGTGCTACTGACTGTATGCAAGAATGGGGCAAAAACAAAGCCCAGAGCCAGTGTGGTGGGGCCTGCCTATTAATCTTGGCACTCTGGGAGGCTGAGGCAGGAGGATTGCAAACTGGAACCCAATCTTGACAGTTCAGCGATTTGGTCTTCCTAGTGGTTAGATTACTTTTTGGCTCAAATTGCAGTCATTCTGCAGATTATCTGTCGACCTGGCAACGAAGGACAGCACACTAAATAAATTGGAGTCATTTATTTAATGTCCAGGACAGCACTTGTTCACAAAATTAGAATATGAACCATACGCCATTTCAAAGTACGTGCTAGTGACATTCAATATAAAGATGAAATTAATCTGGTCATAGACCTTGTTAAGTCAAGAATATGACCACCTCAAGGAGGCTGAGGCAGGAAGATTTCAAGTTTGAGGTCAGCATAGGCCAGAAAGAAAGACTCTATCTCCAATGAAGAAACAGACAAACGAAACCATCATTTCAGCATGAAATCATATATAAACCACTCAGTTTTTAATATTTCTGTTCTACATAAAGAGTCTTAACCCCAGACACATTCAATTATTTGATGTACCAAAAAAAGAGCCAAAAATGTAAAATAAAGATAGCGTCTTTAGTAAGTGGTGCCCAGGAAACTGGGTACCCACATGCAGAAGAGTGAGTCTAGGTGCACACAGCTCACCATGTGCTGAACTAAAATCAAAATTGATCAGAGATCTAAGTGTTCAAAACAATCTGTTGAAAATAAAAGGGGGCACCACTATGAAAGACACGGACGTAGCAAGGGCTTTCTGAACTGATTGCCCAGCGGCACAAGAAATGAGCCTGAGAAGCAAAAAAATGGATCATATCAATTTAAAAACTTCTGCAGAGCAAAGAAAACAAGCAGCAGAATGAAGAGACAGCCTACATGACCGGAACGGATTTTGCCAGCTGTCCATCAGACTGCGATAATATCCAGAATATATAAAGAACTCAAAAATAATTATACCACTGAAAATAAAAGGCTCAGTCAAAAAATGGCAGTGGGAATGACAGACACCTTCCAGAAGAAGTACACATGAGCAATAAATGCGCAACAAAATGCCCGACGAGGGCTGAGGAGATATAGCTCAGAGGCATGAGTACCTACCTGGCAAGCACAAGGTCCCGAGTTCAATCTCCAGACCTGCATGCTGTGAGCCGCCAGCCCCGGAACTGGCGCTGGTGCACGCCTGTAATCCCAGCACTCCGGGAGGTGGAGACAGGAGGATCATGAATTTGAGATCAGTCTGGGGGCTGCAAAAGTGAGCACAGGAGGCCAGGGAGATAGCTCAGTGGTCTAAATGCCTGCCTGGCAAGCACAAGGACCCAGGTTCAATCCCCAGTACCGCATGCTGTGCCAGCCCCACCCCAGGCACACTGAGCCTGCCACCAAGACCAGCCATGGTGGTGCACCCCTGTAATCCCAGCTCTGAGGAGGCGAAAACAGGAGGATCACTATGAGTCCAAGCTGCATAGTGAGCCCCTGTACCAAATACAAAAATTCAAAAAGTGAGCACACGGCCAAAAGTGAACAGCATAGTGAGGCCCAAACTGTAGCAAGACCCTATCTCAAAACAAAAGTGTCACATACCACAAAAAAAAAGAAAAGAAAATGTATTTATATATGACAGAAATACTACTCTACTATAAAGAAGAATAAAACTTGAGTCATTTGTAGGACAATGGATACAGTTCAAGAACATAATGTTAAGTGAAATCCATCAGACACCCGAGCTTAAATATTACATGATTTCTCTTATGTGAGAAAACCAAAATAGAAAGAGCAAACTAAAGGATGGATAATAGGAAGTGGAGAATCTTTAGGAACAGGAGCAAGAGGTGGAGGAAGCAGGAAGGAATGGGAGGGGAAGGGTCAAAAGAAGATTAAGATGTGTCCAAACATGTACAAACTCCCCATAATAAATGTGACCATTATGTACTCCAAACACATACTCATTTTAAAATGTATGAATAATAAAAAATAAAATGTTTTAAAGCCCACGTGGATATTTTGTACTTCCAGTATACTGTAATTTGGATTCACTACTGGAAGGAATCAGAAAATACAACCTCCAAAAATGTCTTTGCCACAAGGATTATTTTGAGCTGAAGGCAACAGATGCAGGAAGAGTTTCCCACTTCCTCCTAGCTGCCTAAACACAAAGTGGAAATGCTCCTTCGTGAAGGGCTTACCCACCACGCCGCCCCATGCGAGGCGGGAAAGAGCAGGCTGTGCGTGGACAGTAAGCCTCGCTAAGTAACCCTGACCTTCTGTTAGCCCCCATGTATTCCCAGGTCACCGCCCCGTGGTGTGCCCTCCCTGGAACTCCCAAACCCTTTTCTTTGTTAAAATGGTGGTTAGGCCCCCAAGCCTAACCGCCTATTGGGGCTTCACTTGCTTTATTCATGGTAAGTACTGGCGAAGCCAGGCACATGCCCTTTTCACTGTTGATGTCTTCTGTCACTTTCTTTTTCAGAGCCCCAGGGCCGGAACTAAGGAAGAAGCATGTTTTTCTGCCCAGTGCTACTATTTTGGGCACCCCCAGTCATACTCGGTTACTGGCTATGTGCTGGACGATGCAGTTCTAAGACAATGGAATGCGACACACAGCATTTCTAATCTGTACTTCGACTCTTGTATAAAACCCATCTTTGTCCACGCATTCTACCACTGCAGAAGCTCAGCAGGCTACCTTCTAGCACCTAAGAGCACTTACTGTCTTAAGTGAGCTTAGTCAGTACCTCATTTTCACCTTCCTGCTGATACTCGAGCTGGGAAAAGAGCCACTGCTTTCCACTTTCTTCATGCTTTGGTCCTGAGAACATCATTCCTAGTAGCTCTCCAAAGTAGGAGAAGAGGGCTGGGGAGATGGCTCAGTAGAATGAGCGCTTGCCTGGCAAGCGCAAGGGCCTGAGTTCAATCCCTGGTTCTGAAGAAAAAAAAAAAAGTTGGAGAAGAAAAAAATCTTTCTCAACCTAAAAATTATATGGGCCCAGGCATGGTGGTGATACCAGTAATCAGGAGGCTGAGGCAGGAGGATCGCCACAAGCTCAAGGCCAGCCTGGGCTAGACAGTGAGTTCAAAGCCTGCTTAAACTGGAGAGTGAGATACTGTCTCAAAAAGAAAAAATAAATAAAAATAAAATTGTATGTGGTTTTAATTTAAAAGCAAGTAAACAAAACAAGACTTAATTCCAAGGAAAAAACAGATTTGTACCTCACTGGGGTTTTCACACTGTGATCCACAGTGGCTTGGGCAGTGTTTCACTCTGGCTCCACAGAGGGAAGCTCTACAGAATGCCCACTAAGATAATCGCAAGTTCTGAAGTCAATTAAAACTGTAAGTCATTGTGCTATAAGTAGCAAGAAGCCCTATTCAGTGGTTTTAATTATTTTACATCTTGGAAACAACACACGGATTTGATTAAAGCACACTTTGATTTGTCACAGTGTCATCAAGGGCCTGTGTTTGGGCTTTCTATTTTTCAAAAAATATAAAGATGTGTGCTTCGGATATCCTTTCTAAAATTTAGACAAGTGTTCAATGCCTAAAATCCAAGGCCTGGCTTAGGTGTAAAAGCCTCCACACCACGGTCGCTTTTCCTCCGATCCCAGCAGGGCTGCGAGAGCGCCGCCCGCGCACCTTCGCTCCCGCTCTCCTGCGTGCGGGCTGTGACACACCACACGGCCTCACCAGCAAAGGCAGGCCTGGCAGCACCGCGCAGACGGCGCGTCCTCCTCTTTAGCTCATCTTCACCCCAAGGGATGCGCTTTCCACTGGTCACTTAGCAGAGCAGACGCAGGTCTCCACCCACAGGGCGGGTGGGTTTTACCGTGGAGTCGGGTAAGGGGTAAGAAGCGAGCAGCTCCATGCGGAGCGGAGGAGCGCCAGCCCCCAGCCCAGGCTGCGGCGGGGAGCGGGGGTCTGGCGTGGGAACCCACGTCCGGTTCTAGGTGGGCCTCGGGCGCCGGCTGCAGTCCTTTCCGGGCCCACAGGAGGAGGACTCCATGCCGCGTCTTCTCCAGAGACCCGGTCAGCGTCTGGGCATCTGGAGCGGTGGACGGTGGACGGCTCCTCAGAGGGACAGGCGGTCTGCGAGGCCTTCCCTGCGCTGCCGCATCACAAACCCCGCCAGCTCCTGTTCACGTCAGGGCCACTCAGCTATTCACCGTGCAAGCCGGCACTCCAAGGAAAAGGAGCACTAGCTTTCATGTATTTATTTATTTATTTATTTATTTATCTATTTATCTATTTATTTTCTGTGGTTGGCTCAGCCCACCCTCCGGGCAGGGTGGTGCTGAGGATCGAACCGCCGTCCCTGAGGTTGCCTAAGCTTGCCTGAGCAGGCGCTTTAGACTGCTGAGCTATCTCGCCAGCAACATTGACTTTTAATTACGGTCCACAGACCTCTATGCACACCACGGCCTTAGGAAGTCTACTGCTGGAAATCGAACGGCTCCTTTTTCCATTTTTCTGCAATGGGTTGTGAGTGGATTCTCTCAAGATTAAGAACCAGTATGCACGGGTGCGTTGGAATCCTACTCTGCCGCGAAGAGAGACAGACCTGAGGCATTCGCAGGTAAATGGATGCAAGTGGCAACCGTGGTATTGAGTGAAGTAGGTTAGACAGGCAAGCTTAAGTAGTACAAGGCTTCTCTCAGATGAGAAGCTCTTATATGGGGGGGGCAGCAGAAAATAAATCTTTTTCAAATGGACAGGAGATCAAGAAACAGAGAGGAAAGGAAAAGGGATGGGCAAAAAGAATGAAAGGAAAAGAGGCTGACAAGCTCTTGCCAGCGGGAAGGGGAACGGCTATTGGAAGGAGCAGGAAGGGCGGGCACACGATGAAAGAAAGCAATTCAGTGTGTTACGTGTGTGTGCCGCCACCTCCCCGCCTCGCGAGGAGTGAAGTCGTTATGGACTGCAAACACATACTAGGAGTTTTTAAAAAGCATGAATATGCAAGGTGGACCTGCACGCTGGGATGCGGGAAGCCACGCCGCCACCGCCGATGGCCAACAGAGCCGGACCCTCCCTCGGCCGCGGCCCGCGGAGCAGCTCTGCAGCGAGGGCGCCCACGGCAGCGGCCGGGGCCTCCGAGCCCCGCTCAGGTGGAGCCCGAAGCCTCCCGGGCTTTCCGAAGCAGCCATCAGAGGGCTGTGCCACGCTGACCAGGAGAGGGGGCCCGAAGTTATGGGCAGCGTCCTCCGGTGCGAAGAGCAAACGCCAGGCTTGGCCACATCAGACGTCACACGTCTAGCGCCACACCTAGCTGCGCAGGGCGTGAGGACTCATCTCTACCGGCTGCACTGATGGAACCAAAAAGTCCTCAGTGAACCAAACAATCATGAAGAAAAGGCAAATACTTATCCCAAATGCTTACCGAGATCACTAACAGTAATGTCCCTCCCTGGGAAGTTTTCCAATTCTGCTTCAGCCCATGTTCTTCTGATTAAAGAGACAGTGAATGAGAACAGATTGCTTTTTCAGCAGAATTCAGTTCAGTTGCATTTTTCCTTCCATGATTTAATTAATGTAAAAAGTGGGCGCTTTATTCCACATCATCTTTTAATAAAGGAGCCGACACTCAAGGAAGAATTAGAGCAGAGCATGATGGATTTCAGTGGAAGCGTGGTTCAGAGTCCAGACTCACAGCAACGCCATTCACTCCATCAATGGGCTAAAGGACAAAGTCCTGTGGTTTTCTCTCATGAATGCAGAAAAGTATAGTTAAATTAATTACAAGGGGGTCAGGAGATGAAGGGAGGGAGCAGAAGGGGAGGGAAGGGGCATGAAAAGAATTAAGATGTGTTACTCCCTGCACCAACTGCCGTGAGGAATGTAACCATTATTTTTCTTAAATTTTTTTTGTAACCATTATTTAGTGCAAGCGTGTACTAATAAAAAATTTTCAAAATTACTATCTTTATCACTATATAATACTTTCAAATTAACTGTTAACCTTTGGACAATTATTTGCATAATAAGCAGTCTTTAAATTTTTTTTTTTTTTCATTTGTGTATTTGGTACAGGGTTTCACTACACAGATAGGACTCATAGTGATCCTCCTGTTGTCATCCTCCCCAGCACTGGGATTGTAGGTGAGCACCACCATGGCTTAGTGCACCTTGGGGGTGGGGCCTGGGATTGAATCCTGGTCCTTGCACTTCCCAAAGAATAAGCGTTCTTTTGTTATGTACCATTTTGCTTTTTTTTTTTTTCCTTGTATTTTAGGGAATGGTCTACAGAGTGTTCAGGGTCTCACTTCTAGATTTGACTCATAGTGATCCACCTGTTTACAGCCTCCCAAGAGCTGGGATTATAGGCATGTGCCACCACACCCAGTCTCAATTGCCATCTCAGCATGCCCCAGGGACAGGGCCGGCACAGCAGGCTCCCAGAACCTGTTCCTGCTTGCAGGCACTTTAATCCATTTTGCTTTTTACAATGTAATTGTTTTACATATAATACAGTGGACTACAAGGTGGGTAAATAAACCTGTCGGGCAGTGGGGGTGAACCTATGGCACAGGGTCACAGCTGGCGGTTCGAAATCATTGAAAACTCTACAAGATTCACCAGCACTGCTCTAGAGAGTGAAAGAAATGGAGAAAAATAATTACAAAAATCTTGAAAAAGATGTTTAGAAAACCAGAAATTGAGAAAATTTTTCTCTCTTTTTCATTTTTTGGGGACTGGGTCTCACTGCAGTTCATTCTGTTCTGAACTCATTAGATAGCCCAGGCTGGCCTCGAACTTGGGGTGATCTTCCTGCCTCAGCTTCCCAAGTGCTAGAATTACAGGCATGTACTGCCTTGCGCAGCCAAGAAAAAGAATTTCTTAATCTGCTAGAAAATGAGCAGCAAGTTCAGTATTTATTGGGTGAATATTGGAATTATGTACTTTAAAGTTGTGGATAAGATTTGGATGCCTTTTAAACCATTCTTACTCTCCATATGATATTGGATGTTTTAACTAATAAAGTAAATCAAGGAAAGAAAGAATATAAAGATCCGAAAGCAAGAGTAAAAAACCCCTCAGTTATCATTACTTACAGATGAAGAAATATTCACATAAAACTCCTATGTGATTCATACAAAACAAACAAACAAACAAACAAACTAGGAACTAACTCAACAGAAATGCATAAAACTTGTAGGACATCTTTAAAATTCTATGAAAGTAGTATTTCTCCTGATGTTAGTCCACATACTAGTCATCTAGAAATCCTTCTGTCTCAGTTACTCTTCTCTTGTTGCTGGGACAAAATACCCAACATCCAAAATTAGGGACAACAAGGTGTATTTAGTTCACAATTAGTGGAGGTTTCAGTCCATACTCATCTGGCTCCAAGGCAGAGTGGTACATGGCAGAGGGCTCACGGTAGCGGAAAACAGCAAAGAGCAAAAGGGAGGAGCAGCGGAATTGACAGAGAGCAGGTCTGTCTCCTTTACGTCAGGCTACACGCTCTAGGCTGGGTGCGGCACTCCTCACACCCATAATCCCAGCAGCACTCACACCCATAATCCCAGCAGCACTCACACCCATAATCCCAGCACTGGATCATGAGTTAATCACAAACTCTAGAACTGTGCCCCAGGGACTGTGTGAGGCTTTGTGAGGCCAACTGCACACGAACCATAACCTTTGCTTACCAACAGGCCGTGGCCAGTAAAAGAACGTCTCAAGACCACACAGGGGTACTCTCGGTCTGAGTGCCATACCACGACTACCATGATCACAAATAAAAAACAGAGATAGAAGACATGTTCCCATGGCAACACCTTATTGTGGTAAAGAATCTGTTTCTCTCTAAACCAACCTA